TGAATGTAGCAGTTTTTCCAGATTTGTGTTGACATGTATTTATCTGAAATGCGTACTGCATTCACTTGCATCCAAGAATAGTTGAGATCAACCTCTGCTTTTTAAAGGAAGACCAAAGAATCCTTTTAAACTACTGTAAAGAACTGGTACGTTTTAGCTTGTTGTCCAGGATATTGGACAGATAGAATACAATCACTGCTATCAAAGGTTCATCACAGGTCAAAATTTCTGTGAACAGCAGATGACAGAATGAATTTTTTGAACTATTCTAAGAGAATAAGTAGAGTATCTCTGGTAGGGACATGTGGTAACTCTAGGAGGTCTGGTTTTTATTTTTATGATGGCAAAAGTTGTGCAGAGCAGGCTGAGCAATTCAGTATATTTTTAATTCCTTTTAGGAGTGAAATCAGAACTCCACTGTGGAAGCTGTTAAAACACAAATTGTGTGTGTGTGTGTGCGAGAGAGAGAGAGAGGGCAAGCTCCAGGATGCTTTGTCAGAATCCATCCAATAGTTTGGAATAATTATTTAAGAGAGCAAAATAACTCACACAGATGCATACACCATGCAGTGTGTGGAAAAATGGGTGTGTCGGACTGTAAGCAGCATCTCTGGTCAGTAGAACTGTGATCCAGTGATCATTAGATAGATCCCAGGAGACTTCCAGAGGAAGGAGGACTGAAACAGAGGATGAGGAGAAAAAAGGTTCTTTAACAGAGGAAGGGACAGGTAAAACAAAAGGTAGTTATAAATATCTTTAAAAAATGCTTTAGAATTATTATTCATGCAACTTTTTTGCCTCTCTGAGGTAGGTTCCAGATAAATGTAAACAGCAGGACAAGTAATGTTTCCAGTTTCAGCCACTGTGGTGATTTCAGAAAGGCCTTTAAGTAAATAATCTCTCCGTCAGATTATTTCCGTATCCTTCCTCTCCAACCTCACCTACATGTGCCACAACCTGAGCACGGTATAAGGAGTCGGCAGCTTTCAAACTTCATAGTCTTCCTTAATATGAAATATTCCAGCCATGAGGGGTTACCGTACAAGGTTTCTGTCTGCTGAAATGTGTCTGCTGTGAGGCTTCTTGTTTCTTTGCTTGTTTTCAGTATGCTCAAAGTCTTGTGAAAGTCAAGTTGTCACATAGATATTTGTTTCAGGAAGCATTCATACCAAGTTCTTTTTGTAGTGCAAAGCAGGGAATTTCTGCACACAGCACTGGAAACATCAGTTGCACTCAGTCAGGAAGAGTTACCTACATTTCTTTTCACTTAAGTCATTCCCTTCCTCTTCAATGCTTCCACATCCACTTCAGGGACAGGTAGCTTAATTTCTATCATCTGTAGCTTTACGGAGTATTAGCTTTGCTACACATGCCAATGATTGAGCTATACTAGATGTGCTTGAAAAAGCCTACAAAACAACAGTGCTCATTCAGGAAACTCAGGGTGAAGTAAATCCATATGTGTGTTAGAAAGTCAGTGTTCAGATAAGGCTTGTGTTTTCTGGCTCTTGGCGCTATCATGCACAATCGTCCTTTGAAGACCTGCAGCAGTGATAGGATTTTTGATAACGAAATGTGCAGTATACTCACAGTTTAACACTGACATTTTGATGCTTTAAAAAAATGTTCTTTTTCATTTGGTAGACATTCAGAATATTTTCCTACCCTGATGATTTTTTTAAAGGTCTTACTTACAAATGAAAATAATACATATAGTTAAGCAGACAAAAAAGGGCTAAGATTCTGTGTTAGAACTAAGCTAAAAATGCTGTATTTTCTGTAAAATTTGTTTAACATTTAAAAAAAAAAATTCCTAATGAAGATAGAGTTTTACTGATTTCGTTGGCTGCTCCAAAGCGCTTGCAGAAAAAAAAATAACCTTTTATAAAATGTCATCTGACTTTTTCATAGACTGTGATTCAGAAAGCATCACATTTTTCACAAATTCATGCATACTTAGCATCCAGATAGACTGTCAGATACATGTGATATATACATGAACTAGAACCAGAAACCACAGTGTCTAATCCTATTCCCTTTAATTGTATAAAATCCAACCTTTTCATCTCACAGGAATAAAGAAAAGCATATCTAGTAGGATTTTACATCACTGCATTTCATATACAGCATGACAACTGGGCCAGCTAGTAGCTGTAATTTTGATGGATTTGCCATTTATATCACTGTATTTCAAAAGCAATTTACAAAGTAAACATTTAGTAATACTAAAAGAAAATCTCTGTTTAAACACCTGAAACATTTATGGCAATACACAGCACTAATAGATACATAAAATGAAGTGAGTTGGCATTTTCCACTAGTTAAAGCTAAAGCATTGGTTGTGTGATGGAAGTTTTTCTAGGTTGTACTTCATGAGATATTCCTTGGAAATTCAGTCTTAATTTTGCATGAACATTAAATAGAATTTGACATCTAAGTTTATAATACTGTACCTTTTCAGGGTAATTATTCATAAATTTATGTTAATTTTCTTTTGTTATAATAATTGTACACTAAGATATACAGCTTCAGTTGGCTACCCTTGTCTTTGAGAGTTTACTATTTGTTACGTGTACCATGCCCATGACATCAGCTAAAATATCCTGAATTTCCTGTGTACGTTTAGGTGGTCACTTTTGAAAATTTCTGAGGAAATGCTGTTTTATTTCCCGATTGCCCATTTTCACTTCCAGTCCAGGTAAAATTAGGTAGCAGTCGTTCAAGTGGTCTGAGGGAAATTTTTCAGTGGGAGATATTTGGTCTTATTGTCCCAGTTCAGTTTCCTTACACTCCACTGAAAGCAGAAAATGATAAATGCCATATCCTGGCCAATACTCAGAGTTCAGTCGTTGGAGAGACTGCCGTCTCATGTATCAGAGCAGACAACTGTCTTGAAGGGTGGGTACTCTCAAGCTGTGGTTACAACTTTAACTTAATCGGCCTTCCTGGAAATGAATCATAGTCCCTCTGAGGATGCAGGCTCCTGCTTGGGACCTGCTATACTGAGCAGCTGCCATTGAATCATTTTCATCAGCCACTCCTTCATGTTAACCTTAATTTGCTAGCCATAAAAATGGTAAGAAAGTACTCCCTCCCAGCCCTCTTGTTGATACTTCTTTATTTAAATTACTGCACGGTATTTTTCAAACTTTATTATAGTTTGATTAAATTGATTTAACCAATGACCTCTACTTATTTATCTCCTTATTTGTTTTAAAAATGGAAATTGCTTCACAGCTGCTTTAAAGCAATAGAGAGAGAACCTGAAGGTCTGCCTAATGTTAAATATGCCATTATTTTTTAACTATTTGGTTTCTTTCTTATTTGTTGTTGTAACTTTCTTAGTTACCTATAGATTTGGGTGCATCTTTAGGAAGGCTAATAAATTTATTTAAATCTCAAGCTACCAATCTGTAAAACAAATATAATAAATCATCCCATATCAAGCTGATGATGCTTAATTGTGTTTGTACAACATTTTGAGTTTCTCAGATGAAAACACAGTGTGCTGTTATTACAGTTATTCTGAACTTTGCAAGAAAAATCCAGTCTTCTTTGTCAGGTCTGCTGTGAATACGAACTATTTTCATTAGTTCTGCTGCATGCACACAAAACTGATCAAAACGATAGAAAACTCAGGTCTAGTATACTGAAAACTAAGATCACTTAAGTAGCTTGAAATATAATATTATTGTAACAGTAATGGTGAAGACGTTTGACAGGTGTAGAGAAGATCAAGCTTCTTTCTGTTTCAAATGGCTAATCAGAGAAATTCCTCAGAACCTCCAGAGTCGCGTAGCAGTTGCATCCATTTTCAATTACTTGATTTCTTTCTTTCTTTCCTTCTTTTTTTCTTTCTTTTTTTTTTAAAGAAATTAGGAACAGAAGCTTCTGGTTCAAACTGAAAACACATCCCAATGTGCTTGGAAGTTATCCAAATAGCATCTGCCACAGTATTTTGTCTATCCCTAAATGTTTTTCTTTTCATGATATATTTGTACGGTGTGATACAATTACATGCACTTCCCATGGAGCATCAAGGAAGTCTGGCTGTGTTTTTGGATGACTTTTTCAGACTATTTCACACCATAATGTCTGCTTGGTATAATATCATATGAGGGCTATACAACATTTCACCTATATTTTTTCAGTACGTTTCTGCAAATAAATAGTGACTAAAAATTGATTTGAAAAGAAAAATTTTAGCATACCGATTGAAGCTGTAGAGCAGTGCTGCCTAGCCACCTTTATAATATTTCCTTTACAATATTTTATCTTGATCTTGACAATATTTTGTCCTTCTATTTTACATAATATGCATATAATGTTTTATGTGTCACACTTGCTCATTTAGAAGGCGCAAAAGATAATTTTCTCTGCTTTAAATAACCACATTCATCTGTTACAAAGTGGGGCCTAAAGCCTTTCAGCCAAAACTTATAAATTTGTCAAAACTGGAGATAGAGAATTGTTCTGATTGCAGTCACTTAAAAATGACTTCTGCCTGAGTAGGAAAGACGAGTGTTTACTGCTGTTGTTGTTTTTTAAAAAAAGGGGAAATGGCTGGGGGGC